CAATTGGACTGAAAGACTTCAGGGAGGGGATGCAGTAGATGCAGTAGAGGTAGGAGAGAGACAGGTTGGTCATGCTTATCTCTTCAAACGACCTCGAAAGAGGAAAGGTTGAAGGAGGGAGGAAGGTTGTTGAGACATATCTGGTCTGCAGAGTCCATTGTATGGATTGTTTCACAGTGGCTTTCGGGTTCTGTTCCACTTCCATCTATTGAACCCCAATTGTGAATGATTCAACATAGATTGCTGAACGGATGGAAAGTTAGGAGTGATGTGTCTAAATCCTTTGAGTATGATTTCGACTGGCTGGCTATTGTTATGGATCAGGCAATCACATACATGTATGGCCATGGAGATTGGGTGCTCCATGATGATGATGGAAGGTTAATTGCAGATGTCTGTGGCATATTTCTGTCTGACAGATAAGTGCAGGTACCGAAGTCGATCACCGTGCAAAGGAAGCATGTAATGTGAACATCTACGACACTACGCTTAGAGATGGGTCACAGGTATGGCTGAACTTCTCCTGTCCAATCTGACCAGTTTGAAAGCATTGGATGGTTGCACAGTCACAGACTCACAGGTATGGTTGAGCTTGTCCTGTCCAATCTCATCTGGATGGACATGCTTGGGACATGACATGGTGTGAGAACTTGAAAGGACAAAGGGACCGGAACTCTCACCTGTCGCATATGGTGGTGGTCAAGTTCTCATCACAAAAGCTCCACGTGTGCACGTGTCCCTTCTCCTGTCTAATCTGACCAGGTTTTTTTTTTTTTAATTCTGGGATGCCCGGAACCCTGCCTGGGGTTCATGCCCGACCAGGCACCTCGGCGTGTATCAAGGCACGAATTGGGTGCCTGGGCGCCCGGACAAATAGCTTAGTTTCTTTTTTATTTTATTTTAGGGGGATAGCCCGTAACTTTGTTGTGTTCATCTAAGCCCATCAGGATTTGAATTTTGAACTCTTCGTTCTTTTTCCTAACAGTTATGTTGAACGTTGAACTGGCTTAAAAGTTTTGATTTTTATCCAGGAGTGCTATACTAAATAGTAAATACGGCTTGAAGATCTTCCTCCCTACATCTTTCCACTTACTCCTTTCTGACTCCCTCCCTGCCCTCCCCACTTCTCCCCTCCCTTCCCTCCTTTCTTCCCTCCTTCCTTCCGTCCATCCCTCCCTCCTTCCCTCCTTCCCTCCTTCCCTCCTTCCCTCCTTCCCTTCTTCCCTCGTTTCCTCGTTCCCTCCCTCCCTCCCTCCCTCCCTCTCTCCCCTCTGCCCTCCCTACCTTCCTCCCTTCCTCCTTTCCTTCTCTGCCCAACTCCCTACGTCCTACCTTCCAGCTTTCCTTCTCTGCCCAACTCCCTACTTCCTACCTTCCTGCTTTCCTTGCCCCCTTCTTTTCCTCCCATCCATTTTTTTCCTTCTCAATTCTTTTCTTCTGTCCCTTACTTTGGCTTTCCTTCTCTTCCCTCCCCCTTGCCTTCCCTTCCATTTCTCTCCCTTCTTTCCCTTCCCTTCCCTTCCCTTCCCTTCCCTTCCCTTTCCTTCCCTTCCCTTCCCTTCCCTTCCGTTCAGTTCAGTTCCT